GTCCTTTGCTCGAATTACCCCTGATGTTTTCTGTTATTAATCATAAATAATATACCAATAAACCGATAACCAGAAACTGCACAGGCAGACAACCACGCGATTCGATCGTAGACGGTAGGCTCCCCCACTTAGCTTTAAGCTACAGTCACATAAATATAGAACCCACAGAGATCCCTCTTCCTCAATTACCGTGATCTCGCACCGTGAACCCGCCAAATTTCTCGTAATCTCTTGTTAAACTTTTCATGAATATTCCGAATTATCGTCCACAATCGCATATTCGACCTCTTGCCGAGTAGTAAGTAGAACTCTTCGTAAAAACTTCATCAAAATCACGCAATCGCCAACCTGCTCACAGGAGATAGCCTACCTATGGAATTCCATACCGACATCCTCCAAGGATGTTGCACTGTCTACAACTACTACGAAATCAGTAAACCCTCCTGAGCCCATGCTCGCCCACCAGTTGTACAAGTCTGCTCATCCCCTATTGACATCAACTGAAAGTCCGACAATACATTCCAAACTCAAATTCACGTCGTATCCCGTAACGATAATCAAGCTTTTACGCCCCTCTTCATCCCAAGCCACTTCTTTCCGTCATATTCAATCTTCCTCAGTATAATGTCCACCATCCCAAATGAAGTCCATGGACCTAGTCATTGTCCACCATGATTCCCCAATCGCTCTAAACTTTCTCAAAGTATGTGGGTATCCTACCACGGAATCCATATGCTACTCTACCACTCCCACTTCGATAAAACCCATCTCCTCAAGCAACTTCTCGGCCTCTGTTGTTCATACTTGGCTTGCTAGCAATTCAACCACCGCGAGACACCTCCCACCATGTCCTTCCTCGTCCTTCGCTGCCCAAATACTGCCATAAAACAAAGTCCACCTCTATAGCACCCGAACTAATAAATTGATACCAACTTTAATGCGTACACCGTCGAGGGTCGACCGACACGAACCATAGATGTATCTATTATACTGTCGAGGCGTTCGGCCCGCTCCACAAGAAAGGAAGGAACTTATCGAATTACGAGGCACGTGCTTACAATACAAATACACGAGCATAGGGTGAATATAACCTTTACCGTTTCTCAAATAATTGGCCAACAACTCAAAGTAATACGCCTAATATATATAAGTATTTCTAAATCAGTTTCCATTATAAATTCAATTATTTAAGCTAGCAAATGGAGTTCAAATAATTCAAATGTTACATGATAAATTTCTAATTCTACCCGGACATAAACATGCTTTAGCTACGTACGGACTCTCGTCACCTCGTGCATACGTATCACCACAACTAGTAGCACATAATAATTACATCACCTAGGGAGTAGTTTTCCCCTCACAAGGTTAGACAGGAGACTTAGCTCACTCCGGAGCTCCATAACTGGTTCCACCACCTCTCTAACTCTTCAATTCAAAGCCAAACGATCCGAAACTAGTCAAACAATATGCAAATCAATCAAAATTTACTCAATGCGTATAATTTAACAATTTATAATAATTCTCAACTCCGCTCGAATAGTCAAAAAACTCAACCCTCGGGCCCACATGCCCGGATTCCAAAAATTTTCGAAGATAAATATTACCCATAGCACCACGAACTCAAATATATAATTTATTCTCAATTTCATGTCCAATTTCGTGGTAAGAATCCGAAAATACCAATTCTAGGTCTTCAACTAAAAATCCCACATTTTTCACTTAAATTCGTTCATTTAACCCACAACATGTAGAAATCACTTACCTCGTGATTGAAGACGAAAGTGGTGCTCCAAAATCGGTCCAAAGCTGGATCCCATGGAAGAAAATGAGATGAAAATGAGCCAAACCCCATTTTAAAACAATTCTACCGAGCGATATTTCGCCTATACGGTCAAATATCCACTTCTGCGATTCCGCACCTGTGGAAAAATCCATCGCAGGTGTGTTTTCCTCAAAGCCCAAGAAAATCCGCATATGCGGACCAATTCCGCTCCTGCGTGACCGCTTTTGCGATCGAAAGCTCGCTCCTGCGCACTCGCACATACGGAGCCCTTCTTCGCAGGTGCGGAATTTTCCTCGCACCCAGGTCTCCTCCACGAAATTCGCACCTACGATGGCCCCTACGCATTCGCGTGACCGCACCTGCGGCCACTCCTTCCGCAGGTACGATTACACCAGTCCTCAGCAACAACCTCATCTCCTCAAATCCGATTTTCAATTCGTTTCAAACCCGAGGCCCCCGAAACCCCGTCCAAATGTACCAACACATCCCAAAATATGATACGGACTTAATCGAGGCCTCAAATCACGCCAAAAAACATCAGAACTAAGAATTGATGGTCGAAACCTTTCTTTAAACTTTCAAACATTCAAACTTCGACAAACGCATCTGATTCATACTTAAACATCACGGAATGACGCCAAACTTTACGCACAAGTCACAAATCACGATACGAACCTATTCCAAGGCTCGAAACCCCAAACGGACATCGACAATACCAAAGTCCACTTCAAATCAAACTTATGGAATTCTTAAACTTTCAGAAATGCCAACCTTCCATAATGGGCGCCGAAATGCTCCCGGACCATCCGATACTCAACCCGAATATACGTCCAAGTCCGAAATCATCATACGAATCTATTGGAACCTTCAAATCTGGATTCCAAGGTCGTTTACTAAAAATTCAAATCTTAGTCAACTCTTCCAACTTAAAGCTTCCGAATTTAGAATTTTCTTTCCAAATCAACTCCGAACTTCCCGAAATTAAGTTCCGACTTCGCGTACAAGTCATAATACATGAAGTGAACCTACTCAAGGTCTCAAATCGCTGAACGATGCGCTAGAGCTCAAAATGACAGGTCGGGTCGTTACACACATAATCGATTGTTGTATTAACTCGTTTACTTAATGCTAATACCTTCTTTCGTTTATTCAATTTGTGATACATATATACATGTCAGAAAATTTTACTTTTCTTCTATATTTAATTCATTCATCACTAATAATGCATGACATAGATTAATCGATATAGGTCGAGACGTTTTGTTTTTAATATTCATCGATCTATGTCGAGTCATTTTATTTTTAATATTCATCGATGCATCTAAATAAGTTATAAGTCGCTGAATCAATATACAAATAGATATATTTGATGATGATCAATTATATATACAAATTAGGTTATTGCTTCTTCACAAGTCTATCCGCAAAAGAGCCCGACCCTTTGGCCCCAGTGCTTCGCGTTCTTAGATGCGGCTATACTATATATATATATATATACACTTCATTGTACTACGTTAACTATATATAGCTTGTTATAGTATATGTTAGTGCATTCATTATTTGTATTACAAAATAAAGAGTTAATGGATTATATTTATATTTTTTAGATAGTAAATTGTAATGTGATTCAAAAGTTTGACCATGTTTGACCTATGAACCGACCGAAGATGGTCGGTTATATTTCAGAAATTATATCTACCGATCAAAGTTGGTCGGTAAAATCTTCTCCTGTAATAATCGACCGACTTTGGTCGGTATATTCAACTATAAATTTTTATAAAATATTTTAAATAATAATATAAGTATTAAAATTTAAAACTGTCGGCCCACATTGTCGACCAATGTTGGTCGGTAATCAAAAAAGTGCTTTGACTAAGCAAGTCTGACCATTGCGGTCAAATATTTGACCAATATACCGACCGATTTCGGTCGATATGTAATTTAAAAAAAATGTAAAATGTTTTTTTGGTAGTTTACGTCCGTTTTGGACGATTTTTTGTTCGCTTTTGTTGACCGACCAACGTTGATCGATATGCCACGGTCGAATTTTCCCAGATTTCTAGTAGTGTGCTCAAGGGGATCTTGTTGTTCAATATGTGCCAACTCAGTTTTCACAAAGGGTTTATCCTCATCTTAGTTCAGCTTCTTACGTGACAATCTGTTTAGGACTCTAAGGATTCATCTAATATTTGTAATATCCCATATATGTGATTGACTTTTAATACTTATCCTTGTAGGTGATATACTTAGGGAAATTACCAGCTATGTCCATTTATAAGTAGCTCATTACAAAAATTGGCCAATTGATAAAATATTACTAATATTAGTCTAATTAGCCAATTAGCTATTTGTAGCAAAAAATATCAAATTTTTGCTTTGTTTTGAGTGGGTGTTATTAGAATAGATTGGGCACAACTTAAGGAGCTTGAATCTCAGTTTTGGGATGATTTGGTGAAGTTTTGAGGTGGTTTGAATTGAAAATTCGAAGTAAAAGCTGAACATGAAAAAAAATGATATGTGTCATCACACGTGTGTATCACATATGTATCAATTGTGTATCACATGTATATCCATGTATACCTGTGTGTGTGATACATGTTTGATACATGTGGTGCAGAAGACTTTTTTGAACTCGATTTAATTACGAATTTTGATACAAACCAGTCCAAATCACCTCCAATCTTCCTCAAATTTTGTATATTGACTTATCTATATATTTTCAATGAATTTCAACTATACCCATTGAAAAAGTTCCTTTTTTGTTTAGATTTTTGGAATATTGTATAGATTTTTGTATTTCATCACCTTATTTGTTACCCCGTCCATGAAATTTCCTTTCCGTCTTGTATCTAATGTTGCTAATCACGCTTAAAAATATGGAAGGTGGTTTTTGCATGTGAATCTTTGAGAGAAAGAACCCTATTATTTGGTTTTTCAATTTTTGGTGGCTAGTTTTGGTAAATCTATGACTAATAGCTAGAGGTTGGTAAGTTGAAATTTATTTGGGACATTTGTGTAAGTTTTCCTATACTTATCATCATCCTATAAATACAAGCAATATTGGCTCTCTGTGTGTCGAGCCCTTTATTAAAATCTATCACGGGCCAGATGTCAGATTTTGGGTTTGGGTAGAGCTGGATTTGTAGGCAAACCGGACAACATTGACAATGAGATTTCTGATTTTGAAACTCGAGATTTTACACCCATTCAAAGCATATCTTAATCTTGAAATTAAAAGTAGATATATAGCAGTAATATTTGTAGGCCAACACAACCCATCTTGATGTTACATTCGACATTGTTCTGATCTAGTCTAGGTAGAAGCAGAACTTAGTCGTTTTATTGTTTTCCATAGAAAAAGAAAACTGAAAGGTAAAAAGGAAAACACACAAAAGCAAAGTCGATCAACCACACAAAAAGCTACTCATATTGAGAAGCAACAGACTTCATATATTGTGTTGGCCAATGATCATTTAGCGGCAACCGTATGTTAGTTTAATAACATCGTAGTAACAACGGGGACACCTCCTATCAAAGCAATCACTTGCCTGCCTGCAGTATCCACCGCAACCACCCATTAGGATAGGATCACTTAATTTTGATTTGAGTTCTGTTATAGTCGTTGACACGTCTCTCCCGGCAACTATTCTCACTTTTGGAGAATGAGCCAAATAAACTGCAATCCATCAAAAATAATAATTAGTGTCTTAAAATCAGTATGTTATATATTGTTGCTCGACCGTATAAAAGATTATCCATATATAATTAATTATATATGCAAATTTATATAAAATGGTAGTTCGGTCACACCTCAAGGGTGTGATGTAGACCGTCTACTCTAATGCAAGCATTAGTGACTACTTTCACGGCTCGAACCCGTGGCTTATAGGTCACAATGAGACAATTTATCGTTGTTCAAAAACTCGCTTTCTATATATGTAAATCTACGTAGCAAATAAAAAAAAGAGTGAGGGGTAGAAAATTAAAAGATCATTTACCAGACATCACCATAAGTGCAACAGTGAAATAGAGAGCAGAATTGCGAGCCATGACAACAGTATTACTAAGACGGATGAAAGATGAGAGAATTATGAGTTATTGCAGTGCAATTTTTTGCTTCATACAAAGCAATGAATTTATAGGCCTCTTCTCCGCTATATTTCTCCTTATCTAATTTACAACTTGTCTTTAAAGTTATATTAGGTACGAAGTTGAATCAACTTTATTCAAGAAAAAAGGACGATAAGTCCAGTAGATGAGCACCCCTTTAGTGGAGCTTCCCGCCAGGTCCTCTCATTGGCATGTGGGTGGGCATCACAGATTTTGATTTTTTCTAGATAACAACAACAACAAACCCAGTAAAATTTCCCAAGTGCGATATGGGAAGGATAGTGTATATGCATACCTTAGGGAAGATAGATATGTTGTTCCCGATAGATCCTCAACTCAAGGAAAATAACAAAAGGAAGCAGTAACATAAGCAGTAACAGTAATGTAAGAAGATAAGATAACCAAAGAGGAAAGAAACAAGTAGAGGTAAAAATCTAGGAATAAGAAAATATAAGAATAGTCCTAATACTATACAAAAGACACGCTTGACTACTTACTATCCTTCTACCCTAATTACAAGAATTCTTTCATGTAAGATACACATTTTGTAGATTTTAACTCGACACAAAATTAACACTTACCTCTTCAAGCGTGAATTACACCCACGAACTTGAGGTATAACCAAATGTTTCAGTGTTTCTTAAGCTCATATAACCGACATAATTTAAGTACGTGAATTTTCACACTTCCCGTCAGTTTATACAGATTTTTGTCTCTGTATTAAACTGCATTATTTCATACATTCAAACAGAGAAATAATAATTGAAAGCTCTTTCGTGTTGAACCGAAGCTGACACCTCTTACTACTTGGAGACCTAACGCAACACCGGATGTCCCTCGGGGGTACAAAGTCCATCACTTTCAATATTAATAGTATCATTTATTAAAGAGATAACAAGCTAACTTAATCAACGCCAAGTTCTTGTTAGTTTTAACTTAACTCAGTTGAAACTTAGAAGATCATATGCATTACATGCGTAGTTTATGGTATAGATCTCAGTGATCACTACATCTTGATACTTCCTCCAACTTGGCCTCTTACGTTAGGACTTGTTGATAAATGTGTTGAAAAGTTTTTGGATCCACGTTGCCCGAAAATAGAAAAAACCCGAAAAAAAAGAAGGAAAAAAGAAAAAAAAGAAGGAGTGGAAGATCAAAAGGAGGCCACTCAGTGAACCGGGTAGAGTTGGATTCGTAGGCTTCTTTCATGAGGGTTTATTTCAATTTCTCAGTGAAAACGGTCAAACTGGACAACAGTAACAAAGAGATTTCTGAATTTCATACCCGTGATTTCACACATTAAAAGCATATCTTAATTTATTTATTTTCTAGAGTGTTGTACTGCTAAGTTTTTAGATTTGCATTATAATTCAGCCGAACACCTTTTTACTTCCAGCAGATGCAAACAAACATTTGCAATGAGGAAAGCACTCAGCAAACAAGTTTGGCAGCTACCACCAAGTTGAGGATAAAGTCATGACACTGCATTTGCCTTTTAACTGTTGTGTGTGGATCACACAAGTAATAGACCTAAAAAAAACATTTATTTTAACGCAACTAGGAGTAAACAACTCGGTATCCTAACAACCTCTGCAATGGGAACGCATTCTATGGGCTGGACAGTGGTAAATTCCGCCAACATAAAGCCAAAAGTTCATTCAATAGAGTCTGAACCTGGGCTATATTTCTATCAATAGCTATCTCTACAGGATGAAGCAACCAGATACTAAAGACTAGCAGCTATTAAACAGTGATATTAACATTTAACTGAAAGATAAGAACATGCATAGACAAGAATATCACCCACATAAACGAGGCAGCCAACAATAGCCGCAAACAGAGACTCAAAACAATGTATAAAAGTTCAAGCGGCTAGATACAGGCAAGCATTGGGACAGTAACAAGCTATTACAGTATCCCATGAGCAAATTACTGCAATTTGTATCCTAAAAATGCTAAAGAGATGAAACAAAAACTCTGAAACTACTGTATACGTATGATAACACATGTATCTGTGCAGAGTATACGAACACAATGTATTAGATCGAAGGTAGTAAGAGTCTATTGCACAAATAAAGATAAGCTCCAGAAAGATCATAACAATATTGAGCTGTCATGTTTACATTATGAAAATTCTCACCCTTTAGAGATGAATTTTTGCACTCTCAGAATAGCTTTTCCATGGCTCATACTTCACCAGCTTATGCAAATGTGAAATGTTTTAGGTCTTAACAGTGTTCCTAAACTCTATTTGCCTCAAGCATCATCAACCATCGTCTGTTTGCTTTTCAGTATCATAAATGAGCTTCCAAGTAAAATGAAATAACTGACAACCATGTGCTAGATTTTTCTTCAGCTAGTCCAAAATGGTGATATACATGTGGTACCTACATTTGACATACAGACCCATAGTGTACAAGGGGATATCATTCCGATTTATAAGCTGGACACATGTAAAAGCATCGTTGCCAGAGTGACTTCGGACAAGAATAAGAATATCCAGTGCTTCCCTATAACCAAAGTGTTCATTTAATATGATTAAATAGATGTTCTATACTAAATGGAACTAAAAAACTGCATTTGCTACTACTCAGATCTGGTGACTGGAGAAGTAGAACTGTCAAAAACTAGCTCAATGCTTTGAGGTTCCAGTGCCAGCTGACAATGATAAAATTTTGAATCTGTTATCTGTCACCCTTTCCACCTCCAACCCCTCTGTATCATCTTTTCTCCTAAGAGTATAAACATAGTAGTTCTACCTATTTTACCTATCAAGTATCAATCAACCAAATGTGAATGTACTCGGGAAACTGTGCAACTCAACCAATCAGAATATCAAGAATTCACATTCTTGAGTGAATAATGCACCAGGAAAAAAATTCCAGATTCACAAGCACAATCCCACATTTTCTCTACCAATGTGAATTGCTTGATTAAACATTTTAAAGGAAAAATCAGAAAATAAAGCATGATTCAATTTCAAACTCTGTTTCTCATTATTATGTCAATCTGGTACAGCCATCCATTCTTTTTTGTTTTTTTTTATCCTTCTTTTTAAGTGATGTATAAGGCCCAACCTTCCTTTTCCCTTCTATTCTTCTGCCTTCCCTTCTCATTACCATCTTGCAAAGAAAGGTATGCAGTGTTGGGTCATTTTCGCAGATAAATTATATATAGGGATTGTAATACACGTAATAATAATCATTGAATTGTTTGACTTGTTATTGGATATTTGGTTAATCGTACTAAAACTTGGATATAACATGATATATAATCGTAAGTATGTGTTTAGCTTAAGCCTCAAGGTTTGTTCCAAAAATACCCTAGGAGAATTTAAATTGCTTTCTCCAATTTAACATTTAGTCTTATTATCATATGTGATTAAGAGTAATATACAAAATAATCATCTTTTTAATTATCAAGCAAAAAATACTTACCTTTTTATAACTTTAAGATCAATGCTACAAACACTATCAGAAACAAATGAGAGATAATGAGTAAGAGATGGTTAACTATAATTAATTAATTAGTTAATTAAACGACATTTCTGTCATTTGCGAGCTCTTAAACTTATATTGCTAAATTGCTAATATGTGTGTTACTCCATATTAAATTGGGTATAGAACAGCATCACATTTTATGCGGGGATAGGGACTAGAAATAGCAACAAGATATTGTACTTTTAATATGGAGTTCAACATAGATATTATTTCAACTACAACATCCAACCAAACGACTCCCTCCCCAGACTTTGTGGAGAAGACCATATGAAAAGCAAAAATCTGGAAGAGGCATATAAACATAGTTGTGTAGGGCAGAAAGGATTATGATATTGCACAAAAATGACACAACGAGCAGATAATTAATCTACATGAGAGGAAGAAGATTAACAAAAGCCAAAATATGTGATTCCAAAGGTGATATTACAAGAATAAAAGAACTTCCTGCTACATATAGAATTCAATAAACCATCAGCTAACAAGCTACAGACCTTTTCAACTATCCAGTTGAGTTGCTAAATATACTACCATGCTCAAAGTGCTACGCGAATAAAGAGATACATCTACTACAAACTCTAAACTCAAAGAGTCAAAATTTGAAATTTTTGTTAAGAACAACAAAGAAAAATTATAAACAGTTTCAGAAAGGATCTCTTACATTTTGCTAGTACACACTGCATATCCACAGGGACAAGGCTTCAATTTGGAGAAGATATGCCACCATGACAAAACTCAAAGCAAAGAATCAGATCGAAGGAGCCATCCAAGTCAGCAGCTCTCTTCCTAGCACTACTGATCCCTCCATCTTGGACTTGAAATGGGAAAGAACCCAGAAGGTGACAAAGGAAATCCATAACCAGGAGAAGGAGGAAATTGTGGTCCCGGGCCTAGAATCCCAGGCTGAGCCATGGGAGAGAAGGAGAAATTTGGTGTCAGTGGTGGAGGATGCTGCATACCCGGAGAAAGCAATGGATAAGGGGACCGGGGAGATAACAAGTTCAAGAAGCCAGTGGGTGACGGCAAAAGATACTGAGAAGTAGGTGAAGGCAAAGGAGGAGGCCCATTTATTCCTGGGGAAGGAAGAGGTGGAGGAGGACCATTCATCCTAGGAGATGGAAGACCATTCATCCGCAGAGGTGGGCCATTCAGAAGAGGTGGCATTGAAGGATTAGGTAGTAAACCAGATGATGGTGGATGTGCTTGAAAATGACCAGGACCTTGAAATTGTGCTTGTCTAGGCCCAGAATCTATTATTGAATTCTGAAGATAACGCATATAAACTGAAATCGGAGACTCAGCTGTATTTGTCCAAACATCTCCAGGAGTGGGTGGTAACATAGGGGGTGACGGCTGACCATAATGAGGAGGCGGTCTCACAACATTGTTATGGAAAGGAACACCTCCTGCAGATTGAGCTGAGCCTGGGACCTGCGCAGGAGGGTGGATTGGAATTTGGGGACGATTTATTGGAGTCAAAGGTGGTGGCCGAATCTTTTGTAATCTCATGCTCTGAGGCTTTGAAGGATTCTGGGGAGGTCTAGGTGGAGGCTCTTGAGACGGTGAACCTGTCAGTTGCTGAACAATGCTCCGAAAATCATTCTTGTTAATATTGTAAACCTGAGGCTGAGGTTGTGGCCTAGCACTACTTGTATTATTGAAATTGGGCTGGTGTATAGGACTCTTCTTGATATTCTTCCCAAATTTATTCACACCCAAATGATCTGGATTCCTATTATCCATCTCAATAACTTCAATATAATCACTGAACTCCAAAAGATTTTATCTTTAAATCCCTCTTTTACAACACTGTAACTAAAAAGGAATGATATAATGCAACTCAAATCTTATACCACCGCAAAAGATCCTCCGCAAGTTTGATAACAAACCCTACACTTGAAATTAACGAAATATCACATCAGACAGTGATACCCATACATCAACCAGCTTCTACTCCAGCCAAAACTTCTGCTTTAGTTCACAAAAGTAACGGCAGAAATCTCAATAAACAACTTATTCTTCCCAAATAATGATTCAATTCCCAGATACAATATATTAATGAACTCTTCCAAAAGAAACAATTTTTCAATTTTTTTCTTTATAAATACTTGAGATCAAACGAGCACACAGAGTACAAACAACCCTAAAAAATCCAACTTTTTCAGTTTCCCACTTCCAATTTTCTCCCTCTATAATTTTCCGGAAACAGACAAGCCCTAAAAGTTGAAAAGGATAAGAGCAGAAAGAGACAGAGAAGAGAAATTACGTTCTGCTTACTGGGACAAAGCGTCGAGCATGCGAACTGCAAACTTATGAAAACCCTCAGAGCTGAGCACGACGGAGGGTGGTGGTGGTGGTGGTGGTGGTGGTGGAGGAGTTGGTGGCTGTCGTCGGTCAACGAGGAAATGAAAAGGGAATTGAAGTTTGAAAATGAAGATAACGCGTTTCAAGGTTTTTAAAATATCCACTAGACTGCTAGAAATAGAAAGAAGAAAAGGTGGAGTCAGTGGGGGCAATAGTGGGCCCGATAGGGTTGAATTAGAGTGACGAACCGGTTGCGTTAGTAGTGGGAGGTGAATGGAAAATACTGATTAAGACGAGTCAAACCACGGGAGTTGTATGGTTGAAACTTGAAGCATTTACTAAATTTAATTTACAAATTTGTAATTTGTTAAAGATATTTGGAGAACTAAAACTTTGATATAATACATTTTCTATTTTTAGAGAATTAAGAGTTCGATTATTTTCTTGCACATATTTTAAATTATTTTTAGTTATTAAATATTATAACTTATATTTTAACGTAATTTTTAAATATATAAATTTTATTTTAAAAAACTTAAAAATTCTATATTTAAATTGATATCGGACATTAATTAGTTCGACCCTCGTACTTCGAAATACATCACATAGAATGAAACGGGAAGTACTCCTGTTTAGAAGGAAAAAAGAAGAAGATACTAATCCCTTAATTTAATTTTATTTGAACTAAAAAGTTTTATAAAGGTATGATTGAGAATGTAAGTAAAAGAAGGAAATTCTTTAAATACAAAGGGTGTAAAAACTGTTAGCCATTGTTTGTTTAAGACCATTGTAATAAACATATTAATTTTCTTAGGCTTTGTGTGTCTCCTTTAATTTCTATCATACTATAATCTTATATGAGTATCAAATGGTATTGAGGCAACTTAGATTTAGATATCTACCAAAAACTTGGTTTAGATAATTTATTCGGCCACATATTAAAAATAAAGATTATCCTTTTTGGGTAGAGGTAAGATCTGCGTACACTTTACTCTTCCCAAACTCCATTAGTGAGATTTTAGTGGATATTTTATTGTTGTAGGTTGTTGTATATTAAAAATAAAGATTAGCAAGCAAAGCTCAAAAGTCAGAGACTTCCACGTCTTAGGTAGAAAGTTTGACTTTGACCGTAAAAGTGTGGGCAATTTTATTGTAGTACGAGTATAAGATTAATGGATTTTTTTCTGTTTAAAAAAAAAACTACTATTATTATGGGGAAAGGAAATATAGCCTTTTATGTTCCCATTATAGCAAGTGGTTTTACCATGACTTTTGGCGGTCAAGTCCAGAGGTGGATCCATGATTTGAAGTTTATGAGTTTCTATATAATTACAAAATAATAGTATACAATAATAAATGAGTTTACAGTTATATATTTATAAATATTTAATAAATTTTTTAATAAAAAATACAAGGTCTATGTAATAGTTACTGGAACAAGCTTCCCACGGTTTTTGTTACGTCATTTTGGAATATTCATAAATTATCGTTTAGCAATGGGTAAAAATTAAATAAATCACCCTTTCATTGACAACAAAAATGGCCATATCTTTAGGCAGTTAATTGAGAGGAAACAAACAATAAAAGTATAAAACATATAAAAGATCTTGATAGAGTATATACACAAGAATTTCCCACATGAATAGTTTGATGATGACCAAAGGATTGTGGTTCGAATGTCCGCTTTGTCACAAGTTGAATAGAAAAAGAAAAGAAAAAACAAAGATGCACAAATCGATTGGATAATCTTCCAACTTTAAATTGATAAACTATCTGGATATTTTCGTACGTTTTTCATAAATGACGTTTAGAAAGTTAAAGAAATTGTTTACACGTTACTGCTTTTGGTATGATTGAAAATATCTTAAGAAGTGTTTTCCGAAAATAAGTCATTTTCTTTTGGTATGACCCAAAATATTCTTTAAAAATTGTTCTCCTTTAATATATTCATCTTTTGTTTATTTAACAGAAAATAAGCCATTTTATTATAGAAGCAAGAAAATATTTTGCCACCAAATGGAAGAAAATTTCCCTTATGAGCGAGCGAAAGTCATTTACCTTATTGATTATCTCAACTATTAACGTTAAAATGCTTCATCAATTATCACTTAGACATTCTTATTAATTTCTTATATTTTTTTAATATCTTACAATCAATATTTAATCAAACATGGGAAAATATTTGCAATAATTTTTTTTATTTAAAAAGGTAATTTATATTTGAAAAGAAAATTCAAAAATATTTTCCAACGTATCAAACAAATTAACCCAAATCAAGATTAAGTAACTTTATAATTGCCCAAAGAGGGACTTCATATTCCTCCATACAGCCCCCTTTTGGAGTTGTCGTGTACGCAACTATTGGGCTTTCTCGAGCAAATGCAAATATAGGCATCATGTTGTACATGGCTTAATCAATGCAATTTTTAGCAGCCAGCTTGTCCGAAGTACGCACAATGATTAAGCACTTTTAAGCCTCATTTGTTTGTACTTAATGGAGGTCTGAATATTAATCATTCAGATCTCAAACAATTAGTGTGTTTGTTTTTAAAGTTTGAGTCTTAATTGTTCAAATCTTAATCATTAAGTGTGTTTGTTTTTTTTTACTTAACAACCACTTAATGGGTCTGAATAGGTCTGTATGATCAAGATCTGTAACAGAGACTTATTTACATTAAGATACTATCACCATGCCACCACCACCACCATACTCAGCCACCACCACCACCACCACCACGCCACCATCATCCTCAATCATAGCCGCCACCATTATCGACCATCACCATCCACCATCCCACCACTCCGACCACCATCATTCTCACCCACAGTCAACACTTATCCACCTCAACTACCACAATCAACTGTTGGGATATATACTATTAACCATGGGTTTGGTTTAGTTATAGTAGTTATTATGGAATAATTGTTTATTCAGCTTTAATAAAGTTTTAAATAGATTATATATTAGTTTGTGTCCTTTGCTTATATAGTAGATGATTTACTGTATAGAGTTTAGCTTATACACGGAAGATTAAATCATTGGTTCTTATAAGTATAAAGTTTGAGTTCACAATCTAATGATGGAATTGGACAAACCATCATGGATGATTGTAGCACAAGATTAAATATAATTTATCTTGATTATGGGAATGGTTTAATTCCAACTTCTTGTGCTAGTACATTTTGTATGTATTGAACGGACCAAGTAGAGATAAGTATTTTATTCTGACTTAATAAAATAAACTATCTAGCCATTAAATGTACTTATACTCTTAATCTTGATATAATTATTATTAGCTGTGTATATTATTATTGTTTTATTTTATTAAAAGGCGAGATTCTTTCGTGGGTCAATATGCCTGGTAAATTTGACAATAATAATATACATTGGCGAAGTAATAGTTAGTTGATGGAATCCATGTCTCGGTTTAGAGATTGATGATACACCTTTATGAAAGCTTATAAGTTTTCATGTGTAAACCCGGCCGGTGGATTTCGTATCAAACACATGAAATAAGTTAAGCGAAAGTCTCAAGAAAATAATCAATAAATTAAATCGTCAGTAATTTAATTTAATTGATTAGTATCTGAATCTTAGCATGGGGAGTTAAATAAGATTTAATGGATGAACTTCGAAATTGAACAAGGAGTTGAATTACGAATTTTTAGTGGAATAATTCGTAATTAATTATGGTGGATATTAATTTCAAAAATTATAAATTAATTTCCTAATTGGAAGCCTTGTTAATTAAATTCTGTGGTCCCTGCTGTGCCTAAATAAGTAGCAAATAAAGGAATCCTTTTTCTGGTGGAAAAGAAAACCTAACAGGTTTTGGAAAAGGGTTTTAACCCTTAAAACTTGTGCTATAAATACATAAGGTTTTCCACCTAGATGAGTAGAGAAAACGGGGGCCGACATTTTCAACCTTTTTCCTAGAAAATTTTTGCCCACACAAAATTACTATTTCCGGGTATTATTTGGGTAACACAGTAGAAGACCATGGAACGTTCGGAGATCATGATCGTGCGGGTGGTGGAGAATTCATTGAGTTGCTGTGGAATTGGAGACTCACGTGATAAAGGAGTTTTGTTCACGCTTCAAGAGGTAACCCGTGAAATCCCGTTTATGCTAGCTGTCTAGATTACATGTGATTTTGATACTGGGATTGCTTCCGCTGCTTATTATAATCCATCATCAACCACCCCATCACCATTAATAACCACAGCCAGCACCGCCCATCATTATAACCTACCACCACCTTCCTCAATCACAAACCATCACCTGCCATTATTAACTATCACCACCCATCACCACCATCATCAATCATAATTGCCACCACTACCAATCACTACTAGCTACTAGCATGAATTACCATCATCAACCAAAACTACCACCAACCACCGCCTTTAGTCGGCATTCACCCGTTAGCCATCACCACCAACAACTATCTTATTTTGAAAAACTATATATTTTATTGATAGAATATTAGTTTTTTTTCAAATAAAGATAAATTTTATGCACTCAGATGTTAAAAACCAAGCAGTCGTAATTTTTACTATTCAGATCTTAATATATTCAGATGTGTATTCAGATTCAGATGTCTTAATCTTAATACACATCTTGATATTCAGATGTGTATTCAGATTCAAACGTCTTAATCTTAAAAATAACAAATGAGGCCTTAATTCTTTATTTTAAAAGGTCAATTAACACATAACTAAATAAAATTAACGAAGCGTAAGAATGGTCCAAGCAATGATGTAACAGTGACTTCTGCAGAATCGGTAATTTCCAGCTTCATAGGCTCGACTTGCAACGACCGGATCGGTCGTTTTGAGCTTTAGCGCGTCGTTCAGTGGTTTGAAGCCCTGAGTAGCGTCACTTCAGGTATTATGACTTGTACGCGTGGTCGGAATTGAGTTCCGGGAAGTTCGGAGTTGATTTGGAGAGAGAATTCTCATTTCGGAAGCATTAAGTTGAAAGAATTGACTAAGATTGGGTTTTTTAGTAAACGACCTCGGAATCGGGATTCGAAGGTTCCTGTAGGTTCGTATGATGATTTTGGACTTGGGCGTATGTTCGGATCGGGTTTCGGAAGACCTGGGAACGTTTCGGCACCTATTGTGGAAGTTAGCATTTTTGGAAGAATTTCATACGTTTGGGT